GGACAAAGAATCAAAACCTGGGATCCCATCTTATTAAAAAGCTTCTGCACTGCAAGAGAAACCACCAACAGAGCTAACACACAACCTACAATGTGGGAAAAATATTTTAGCAGCTGTACCTCAGACAAAAAACTACTATCTAGAATATACAAAGAATTGAAAAAAAATCAGACCCCCCCCAATTCAAAGACCCAATTCAAAAATGGGCATCTGAAATGAACAGACATATCTCAGACAAAGAAGTAAAAGCAGCAAATAAATATATGAAAAAATGCTCAAAATCACTGGTCATTCGAGAGATGCAGATGAAAACAACACTGGAGATTCTATCTCACCCCAGAAAGAATAGCTGCTATCAAGATATCAACCAATAACAAATGCTGGTGGGAGTGTAAACTGGTGCAACCACTGTGGAAATCAGTATGGAGATACCTCAAAGAAGTAGGACTAGAGGTCCCATTTGACCCAGTTATTCCCCTGCTGAGTATCTTCCCCAAAGAATTAGAAGAATCATACCACAGTGATATATGTGCACTCATGTTCATAGCAGCACAGTTTGTAACAGCTAAAACTTGGAAACAGCCCAATTGCTCATCAACTGGAGACTGGATAAAGAAAATGTGGTGTTTTTTTAATAAAATGGAGTACTACTGAGCCATAAAGAAGGAGAAACTAGAGACATTTATAGTTAAATGGATGCATATTGAGGCTATACTCTTAAGTGAAATAAAGAGGACACACGTGTAAACACCGAATAGTTCCTCTAGTGTGAGAAACTGAAAGTGTAAATATGGATTAAAATGAATAATTGATAATTTGAATTAGGAAAAGGGCCAAAAGCGTAGGGGTGGTGGGAGGGGAAGGGTAAAGTAAAGGAGGAAAAGTAAAGAAAATTATGAAAAAAGAAAAAAATGGAAATGAAGTCTATGGAAATAGGGAAGGGTGGAGGGGGTGAAGGATGCACAGGTAATGGAGAAGAATAAGAGCTAAGATACATCACGTAAAGGTACAAGCACACAATGATAAATGTAAATGTATTGTATACCTAAAATGTACCAATAAAAGAATTTTTTTAAAAATTAAGGGAATTAAATAAGAGATGGACAAGGGAAGAGTTTTCCAAGCAGAAGAAAGAACATATGTAAAGTCATGTGGAAAAAATTGACCACAATGTATCCAAGGAAATGGAGTAGTTCTGTGTGGTTGGAAAGATAGGTCATGACAGAACAGAGAAATTTAACATGACAGAATGAAAAGCTAGTAAAACTTGTTAACTAATTAGATTTACATAATAGATTTGGTAAAGAAAGAAGGCGGAGTCTTGCTTGTGCGGGTGAGTGGAAGAACTGGTTTGGGAAGAAGGTAACAGAGTTTTAAATATTTTATCATTAGTCAGTTGAAATTAGAAGCATTGGAAGTGTAGGTAAATGCTAGAGCACTTGCCCAGCATGTGATGACCTCAGTTCAATTATTAACACACAGACACACACCAACACACACAGTTAAGAACAAGCAGAATTAGAGTCCATGTTTCATTGTAAAATTTCCTAGCTTTGTGATTTTAATTACTGAACTATCCTTATAGTACTTTTGCCAAACAAATGAGGATAACAGGATAACTCCATTCATTGAGCTCCTGTTATAGTAGCAACTATAACAATGAGATAGTTCTGAGTGATATAAAGTCTTGTACTAGGTGCTTTACACAAAATTTCATTTGATAGCAATATTTTAAATTTTAATTAAATACAAACATTATTATTGGGACAATTAGGCCTTTTGGGATCTAATTAATGGAGGGAAGATTAAAAGAACTGATGTCACACATAACATGAATAAATTTCACAAAATTACTTCTGAGTACTCTGACCTAGAAACAGCTGTCTTCTCTCTAAATATTTAATCCCTAAAAATACTGTCCTTCCCTGCTTCTCCATTGACCCACAAGCAGCCTCTTCATACTTATTTGTAACCTACCCTTATTATTTTCAACAATGACAGCTTATTTGCTGTTATATGTTAATTTGTATCCCTATAAAAAGCAATTTCTGCAACTATAGATAGCCCTCATCATGATTCCCGTTCCTTCATAAAAAGCAAAAAAACCTGTAAATAACAATTTCCCCTGTTCAAGGCTGTACTCTGTTCAAAAAGGTACACTCAAAGTTACATCCCAGGTAAAATTTGGCTTATGCAAAATAAAAACAGGCAAGCAAGAAGAAATCTTTGGAAAATAAACACTCCAGACATTTTCATTACTTCGCATTAGATGTCTGTATATCACAGCTCTATCACCCTAGAAAACTAAGATAAGTTCTCTAAGCTAAACTTTTTATAAAATGGAAGAATTGTAGTATTTTTGAGATGTCCAATGAGAAAAATATATGTAAATATTTATAAATTAGTATGACACAAATCCATTTGATGTAATAGTTATATTTCATAAAATAATTTAAAAGTTTATACTTTCATAATAATGTTTACTTTGTTTTATTTAATTAGCAATAACCATTTATGTTAAGTGATATTACTTTTAAATTTTAAAGTCTTTATAACACACATTGTTATGGTTTGTGTCTAGATGTCCCCTCAGTGCTCACTTTGACAGCACATATACTAAAATTACATGTTCCTTAAAAGCCTCATGCAGTCACGCAGCTTTTTCAGAGATGGATAAATCTAGAATGTGTGAAGCTGGGATTAAGGGTGTGTGATTACTAAATCAGTCCACTGATTGGTTTGGCACTGCCCTAATGCCAGTAGTCTGGATAAGATAAAAGGGGCAAAAAGATGCTGTTAAGGTTCCTTGTTGGTTTTGCTACTGCGTGGGCACCATGAAGTGTTTCCCTTCTGCAACTCTCCTCTACTATATGCCACTCTGCCTAGGAGCCAGCCGATTATGGACTGAGACCTCTACAAACTGAGTTTTCCTCACTTAACATTTTACTGTTGGGTATTTTGTCTCAGCAATGAGGTAAAGGTAACTATGAAACATATTAATTCTACATATTAATGGGACGCAGTGTGCTATTACCATACATGCATAGAGCATGCACTGATCATGTGCAACTACCCTTTTTCCCTTCCCACCCATCCCCCTAGAAACTTTTGTAATAATATAAAGCTTCAATTTAAATGATTGATTTAAGTTTAAGTGATTCAATTTTAGTGAATATATTACTTAACCAAAGAATTAATATGAAAACAGGAAAAACACATTCCAAAAGTGATATACAAATGACTGATACCTAATAAATGCCATCTTATGTTATGGTGTGCAAAGAACTGAGTTAATCATCAGATAGTATGCCACAGAACAATTAATTTAAGTGTTGGCTCTCTAATACATCAGAGCTGCTTAGAAAGATTTCAGCAACTGATAGAAGTCACAGAAAGTTTACCTATAGAAAATATCATTCTAAAATTTATATAAAACCAGAAGAGACCCAGAGTAGCCAAAGTAATCCTGAGTAAAAACAGCAAATCAGGAGACATGCTGAACAATGGAATAGAATTGAGGATACAGAAAAATATCTCATGCTCTTTGAGCCAATTGATATTTGACAATGTGGCCAAAATTTTACGGTGGAAAAAAGATAGCCTTATTGTAAAAATGGTGACGGTTATCCACATGCAGGAGAATAGACACACATCTCTTAAATTGTACAAAAATCAAATAAAAATAAATCAAAGGCCTAGATATAAAAGCTGAAATATTGGAAGATAAAATAGGTAATACTCTTGAACATAGGCATAGTCAAGGGTTTTTAGAACACAAATCCATTACATAAGAAATTAATTCTATTAATCAACAAATTGGGTTATATCAAATTACACATATTCTGCACAGCAAAGGAAACAATTTTCTTTTCTTTTTCTTTTTGTTTTTTGTTTTGGTGCCAGGGATCAAACTTGGGTCCTTGTGCTTGTGAGGCAGGAGGCGGAACCACTGAGCTAAATCCCTGGCCCAGGAAACATTTTTTCAACAGAAAGAAGAGACAACCTACAGAATGGGCAAAGATTTTGCCCGCTACACCTTGGACAAAGCACTAATATCTGGAATATATAAAAAACGTAAAAAATTAGATCCCCCAAATAAAAAACTCAATAAAAAATGGACCACTAAAATGAATACACATTTATCAAAAGAAGAAATACAAATGACCAATAAGTATATGAAACTATATGTTCACTATCTTTATCCATCTGAGGCCACTAAAAATGAATATCATCAAACACTAAATAAACAACAAGTGTTGGTGAGGTTGTGGGGAAAAATGAAGTAAATGAGTAAAATAATTCAGATGCAGAAAGTTAAATATACTATTATTTCTTTTACATGAGAAATTTTAAAAGTAAATAAAGAGCAAAATGAAAGAAAGAGATGGTAGGAAATGAGGTAGATTCTGCAGTGATGTCAAGATCTGGGGAAGAAGGTACAAGAGATATCAGGGAAGGGTGCCAGGGGAGTAAAAATGATCATGTTTTGATATGTATATATACCAGTTCCCCAAGATGAATATAATTATTGTATATCACAAATATATTAATAATAAATAAAATGTGAAAAAGAAAATAAGATCTCTCACACTATAAGTAAATATACATTTTAAAGTTTGTGTTCCTGTGAGGAGCTGAGGTATATTTCTCCTGCTCGAGTCATTACCAAATATTAATTCAATAAGCATTTAATGATACATACTATGTTTCAGTCCTTGTTTTGGATGTTAGATATACAAAAATCAACGAAATTTACTTATTGCCATTAAGGATTTTACAGTCAATGAAGGACTGTGTGGAATATATATATATATATATATATGCATAACTGTTTAACAAGGGCTGGAAGTACTGAATAAGAAATCAGAGCAGGGCTCATAAGAAATCAAAGGAAGAGGGCTGAGGAAGACAAGTCCAGGAAGCATGCTAAGGTATTCTAACCACAGAAGCAAAATTTGAAAAACCCTCAGAAATGACTCCTTAAGTGTGGAAATGCTCACCTGTACTTGACAATTCCATTGATCATTAAGTTTACATCCTTGATTCTGTTGATATAAGCTTGGACAACATCTATACATTTCACCTGCAAAATACAATAATTTACTCAGCTAGCATTTATTTATTGGTCAATTCATCCATTCAACAAGTATTTACTGAAAGCCTCCTATGTAGATGAATAATTTTTTAGTCAAAACCTTTAGTGAATTATCCAGTCCAGTCTCCCGTGAGACATCATATGAGGGTGAGAGAATAAAAATGTCTGCTTAAATGTAAGAATTTAGCAATATCCTGTAATCATTCCTATTCCAAATAATGAATAAGAATAATAAACAAACTCACCTCTAAGTAAACACAAGTTGGAAGTCAGAGATATTATGGATATCTATTGAACTAGCAATTTATTTAGTTCTAGTAAATAGCCAGTATGGAAATGAGTACTATATTGTAATAGCCTAAAAATTAGAATTATACATCATCTCTGAAAGATTCAACAGTTGGTGAGTAGAGACATAATGACATATTACAGTAAGGTTCCCAGATAAAATATAGAAGACTAAGCTAAATTTGAATTTCAGATGTGTAACAATTATTATAAGTATATTCCAAGTATTTCATTGGGCTAATTATACTAGAAACTATATATTCTTATCTGAGATTTGAATTTAATTGAATATATTGTACTTTTATTTGTTAAATTTGACAACCTTACACCAAGGGTTGTAATTTAAAGGTGTGAATAGGCAAAAAAGTGAGTAAAACATTCTGGGGGCAAATTATTGCTTAATTGTAAAATACAATTAAATAATTTAATGATACTTTTTTCGACATGAAATAATAGGCATTAGGAAATTACAAAGCAAAGTAGAACTCTCAAATTCAGAAGATAGCAAGTAAATGAAAAGAAATTAGATAAGAAAGATGTAAGAAGCAAGATAAAGCATAATAAGTACGAACATTATATCATATGGAAGGATGTAAACCAATTACTTCATAGTGTGTGTTAAGGCATAAATTTCCTTGTTAGATGACAGGGAGATTAAATAATTAAATTTGGTTTAAAGAAAACAAAGCTCAACTCTATATGGCTTATGAGAAATTCATTTTAAACAAAGAAACAATGAAAGCTTTAAAATAATGAAAGTTGGCAAATATATGCTTGGTAATGTGAACAACAGGAAAACAGGGGTGTTACTATTGATATCAGATAAAGTTAATTTGAAAATTATATATGAAATTATATAGCTCATAAGGTATTATATAAGTAATATACCATTTTGAAGTAAAAAGAAAGCAAATGTATAAAACATAAACTCAAATAGGAATATAAAAAGCACTTGATCAGAAATACAAGAACAGGAATAGACAATATAGGTCTCTTCAAAATCAATAGACCAAATAGTTGAAAATAAATGTATATCCAGGAATTTAATATACAGCTAACATGCTAAAATACATACAGAGTCTTTACTTCATCAAAGGCAAACATAATCTGTATTCATAAATCACTGAAAAATTCACAAAGAAAAATTTACATTTCAATGGTTTTATAAACAGGTTAGGTCAACTGGGTAATGTATCATAATCCAGTAATACTAGGAACTCAATACAAATAGGTGATTTCAAAAGGTTCTACTAGTTCAAAAGAATCTTCCATGTAATCAATGAGTATAGTAGGTAAACATTAAGAATAAAAAGAAGATATAACCATAGATATAGGATAGATTGAAAGTATTAAAACAAAACATTACGTACACCACTTTTTTGGGGGCTAATGACTAGTCCTTTAGAATTGTGCACCTAATAAGTTATTAGTAAATATGTTTAAATGCATGCATAAGTAATAATTTCAACTACCATAAAACTATACTGTAGTCTGCTGCACACATAGCTGTGATATAAAGAGCCTGGGGTGTCCAGCTGAGTTTTAGAATATAGGCACCCTACCAATGTACACCACTCTATAATTCTTCAAAAGCTCCACCTATTACCTAAGCTTGTAGCAAGTAAGGGGGTAAAAAAAGGTATTAGAAGGAGTAACACACAAAATTGCCATTTGTTTAAAACCTAATTGCCAAAAATTTTATATGTGTTATGTAATTAAATACTCCTAGCAACATAAGTGATATCCCTGTGTTATAAATAAAGGCTGTTGAAGCTCATTTAGGTCATGTAGCTTAAGCAAAATCACACAACTGAACCTGGATATATGTTTGCTTTTTTTCAAATGAATCCTGCTGTCATAGAGAAATAAAAGAATACATAAATGTTTAGAAAAGTCAAGTAAGTATAAATGATTTCTCTTTCTCACTCTGTCTCTGTCTCTGTCTCTGTTTCTCTCTCTCTCTCTCTCTCTCTCTCTCTCCTCTTCAACTCTGTGTACCTCTCTTTCTCTCTTTGGTCTCTCCTCTTCCTTCACATAAAAAGAATCATTATATTCATTGTTATATTCCTTATATTTTTTACCAGCTAGCACAATTCAGAAATTTTATATAACAGTTCCTGTAGATTTATTTCATACTTATTAATGACCGTATGACTCATTAATAAATCATGACTGGGTACTCATCAATGACTATTGATGACTATTTGATCAGAAGAAAGGAGAAAATATTGATATTTGTATTATTTAAAATTAGACAATAATTCTAATATCTTCATTAAATATTATGTTTATTATAAATAACAAGAGGAAACATGTTCTTAAAAGTCTAAAAAAAATTGATACATTATTACTAACTATATTCACCCTACTATGTATTAGGACACCGAGACTTATTCTTCCTATCAAACTATAACTTTTTACATATTGATTAACTTCTGCCATCTTCCTCTACCATCTCACACCATGTCCCATAAACATGTACAATTATTAACTGTCAATTATAAATAAAATTTTAATAATCATACAAGTCCCTTTCTACCCCTAAATCCTAACACCCTCCAGCATCAACATTATCTGCATTTTGTGCTTCTTTTCAGCAACATATACTGTAAAAAGATAACACATTAAATAGAGACAAAAGATATTACATTTTCATACAAATAATAGCACAGTATAAACTATTTGGCTCTTTTTTTTTCACTCAAAATACATCTTACAACTCATTCTGTATCTATCACATGAAGAAACACCTTATCATTTTAATTGTTGATAATATTGAATGTGTAGACGTCTTGTACCATATTTAATAAGGGCTCCGATTTCCCTTTATAAGCATTTGTTTTGACAAAAACATAGAGGATATCCTCATATGGATGCCATTAGATGATTTGCAATTGGAACTTTTGTCTTCAAAACATCATCAAACTTTGGAATCACAAACAAAATCAGTCTTCCAAGTGTACAAAGACAATGATCATGCTGTTAATGGTGGTGAATGCAAGCTGGTACTTTTTTGTGTCAGTCTTAGATGCCAACTGAGACTTTAAAGTTTCAGAAGAAATAGTGTTATCCTGAATCCTGAATAATGAGCAATCATAAGGAGACACAAAACCAAGTATAAAGACAGTAGACACTGAGTTACAAGGATGTGATTGTTCAGAGAGTTAAATATCAGGAAACATTACTCTTCCATTAAGTTTAACAAAAAAATAAATCAGATTTATCTAGTTCTATGACTTCCCAACTTTATGGCATTAGACAAGTTATTATACAACTTTCAACTTTGCTTTCCTATAATAACTCTAAATATACTATGAAAGCATTATTTTTAAGAGTTTTAAACACAACAATCATTTAATTCCCACAACAATCCTATAATATAGATTATGTCCTAAGTACACTTACTTATGAGATAGAGTGTGTAAGCTTCTTGGGGAAAAGCAAAAGCAAATGACCTAAATTGATACAGTTTAAAGTTCTAATTTGTGAAGAATACAAATACAAATTTTAAAATGAAGAAATATATCAAAGTTTTTATCCAATTTACACAGTTTTCCATGATATTTGTAGATCATGGAATTGATTGTTTTATTACAAGTGCATATGCATACGTATAAGTGTGTATTATAAGCATCTGTGTAAATGCAGATAATAAGAATGGGTTTGAGTAAATCAAAGGTAAGTAGCAGGGAGTAAGGTGCACAACCAAATTTCCCAAAGAGATGGTATTTTCCTTTTTTATACTGAGAGATAGATGATCATCTATAACGTTAGTTAACTTTTGGTGAATATGTGCTAAGTATTTTAGAAAATAGGTACTATTTTATTCCATTTTACAGTCAAGCAATTTGGGGCCCCAAGAATTAGTCACTTTCTCAATTTCTGACACTTAAGAGAAAGATAAATGTGAATCTTTGATCTTTAGAAGGATAAGGAAAACAGACTAAATGGATTTGTCATTTTGCAGAAATATTAAAAAAATTAAGATCACAAGTTCCATTTTGATAGCAAAGTCAGGAGAAAATGAAAATACTTAATTTTTCTGAAGAAGGTCTTAAATCAAGCTGAAGATACAAATAGTTTAGACTTTTCCTGTATCTAGTGTACAAGAATTACCACTTGATGTATTCTGAAAACAAATGATAACATCCAAATGTATATGGGCAACTTTTGAGTCAGTATAGTTTATCGGAGTTAACACAGTTTAAATAAGTAATACTGTTAATTCTTTTCCTTCTTAATCTTAATTTCTTGCTATTTATTATGAGAATTGCAGATAAAATACTCAAAATTCTTCCTACATAGTAGGCCCTCTTTAAATAAGAGCTGGTATCAGTCCATCTGTAATTCTAGAATTGACCAAAGATTCAGCAGGTATCACTCAGTATTACATAAGGAATAGATCAAATCATCATTTTATTTCACAATGGCTTTCTCTCAGGTCTTATCAATGATATTGGAAAAAAATCAGCTTTCTTAAATAGTGCTATAGAGCAGAATTTCTCAACCTTGGCACTACTAACAACTTGAGCCAGATAATTCATTGTTATAGAAAGGGCTGCCCTGTGCATTGGAGCATGTTTTGCAGCATCCCTGGTCCTTTCCCAATAGTGACAATAAAAATTGTCCTTGGACATTGTTATATGTATCCTGAAGGCCAAAACTGCCACTTGAGAACCATTTCTCTAGAGAAATGAAGAAATTATAAAAGACGAGAGGCACAACCTTGGAGGGACTAGTATAAATAAAACATTGTATTCCCTCTTCTCCCCTTCAGAATACTTTTATATAAAGTATATTTAGATAAACTCTTATCATGGGCAGGCATGAACATATTAATAATTGCTATAATTACCCAAAACCTGATGATAGTAATATAAAGACTACTATGACAGGTAGTGTTTTAAGTGCTTTACATATATGCACTCATTTAGTCCTCATAATAACTCCATAAAAGAGATTCAAGAACCTAGAATCAAGTGTATTTTAATGGGATATCAGAGGCATACAAGAATAAGCAATGTTTTAAAGATCACACACAACCCAAGTAGTTTGGCTCCAGAGTTCATTCCTTCTAGTCACTACACCACCCAACTTACTATGTGCCAGAGGCTTAACGTGTTATTTGTAATAGCTATGGCAAAACTTACACAAGGTCACATAGCTATAAAAAGACAGACCAAAATTCAGAAACTATTATCTATCTACTATTAGCAAAACCATGCATGAATGGAAAGTAGTAGAGAGAAAGTATAGGAATAAGGCATGTTATAACATTAAAAGGTAATTAGGAGTATGAAAATCTTTATTCCTTCATGCAATCAAAGATGCATACTGAGATATTAAGAAAGTATTTATTGTATATCTACTCTTTGTCATACATTATACTAAATTCTGTGAACAAATCAATGAGGAAAAACAGATGAAGCAATAGAGACAAGAGGTGAATAAACAATGAATACTAGACTATAGCCCAAGATCTCTAGGAAATCCACCATTCATATGGCGGAAATAGATAATAGTTAACCCAGTAGAGCTCTAGAGACCAACTGTTTGAGCTACTTAAACCTTTGAATTCAGAATCTCCATAAATTTTTGTGTATTCATTTAAGTCATTTTACCTCAGTTTCTTCATGTAGATACTGTATTAACAATATAAATGCCTCAGTGACACAGATTACCCATCGCAACATTTATTTTTCTATATTTGACATATACTATACACTAAACAAATTGTAACCAAAGCAAATGTTATTCTAGACCAATTCTATACTAATTGTTATTCTTTAGTATCATTCTTTTAAATGAAAAAGAAAATCTCCAGCCAGAAAGCTGCAGGTAGATCTGAGGAAGTAGAGGGGAAGGGAGAGTAAAATATAAAGAAAGGGGGACAGACCTTTAATAGCCAAGAATCAGTTTGAAAACCTGCTCCTGACTAACATTTGCACAATTTTTATGCACAAATTGGACAAATGGACAGAAGAACTATGAGGGGGTGCCAAAATAATCGAACTGATATCTATTTCAAATGCCCTCTATATGAGGAAGCATATTAAATTTCCCAGAAGTCTTCTTTCATCCCAAATAAATGTCTCTGTTTTGTCACTCTAGGAGAAGGTGGAAAAGAAAGTCAAGAAGGGAATGGAATTAATATGAGAAAATGAAAAAGTGGAAACATCTTTGTAAATAGGGAGGGGTGGAGTGGTTGAAGGGAGGGAAGGGGAATGGGAAAAAAGTAAAAATCAAGATATATTATGTAAAAGTACAAATCTCCAATGATGAATATCATTATATTGTATACCTAAAATGTACCAATAAAATTAATTTTAAAAAAGGAAAGTCAATTCAATCATGTTACCATCTCCACCACCACTAACTTCCTGGGAGTTACCCTCCACCCTTTTCAAAATCAGCTTTTCTCATATGCTCACCTTCCTCTGTCGAATCATTTTGGCCAATTGTACCCCGGAGAGCAGGAGCAATGGTTCAGTCACTGGCCCCGTGGTCTTTGAGTCAAATTTGTGGCTGCCAAAAGCACGAGCAGCTTGGCCTATTAAGCCTATGAGAAAACCTATTGCTCTCAAGAAGAGCAACTGGAATCTGACAGTGACCGGTGGTGCCATGCTGCCTGGATTCCTCAGGGTCTTAGCGCTTGATGGTTGCCTGAGCCTTAAGTAAATGAGAAGAATAGACTCAGCAAAGGTGTATTTAGGAATCCTTTGTTTTACAAGTCCAGTATCTACCCACAATTCCCAAGGAGCTTGTTTGTCATAACCTGCTGGGCTCCTAGCCAGAGATCAAGGGTGGAGTTGAAGCCTTCCCAGCAGCTGCCTGTGTGCAGTGCAACCTGTGGTTAATGCTGGAGCAACCTAATCCAGAAAGTGAGAAGTAAAAATGAACACTGGCTTTAGAGCTCTCTAGCTGTTACTGTATGGCCTTAGACAATTTATACTATTTTACTCAGTTTGCTTATATAATATATAGGAATAATTGCTTCTATATCAAATACTTATGATAAACACTAGGAAACAAATCAGAGCACTTAACAAAAGTCCTGACAAATATTATTAGTAATTATGATTTATTTCAGATACACCTGTGAAAAAAGCGTTATAAGTTTACCTTTGTATGTAAACATTTCATATGCTCACCAAAGCACTAAATGACAAGTATATACATCTTATCCACATGCATATTGCTTAATCCTTGTAAGAACATTAACAGATAGTACCAAGTATCAAATCCTCAACCCATATCTCTCTCTTAAACTTCAGACACTTGAAATCCAATGTCAACTTGACATCTCTATGTGAATATTTCCTAGATTCTTAAAAATCAATGTGTCCAAATTTAATTTATCTCCAAATTTGCTGCTCCTCTGTGTTTACAAATGGCATCTTCATCCACCCAGTCAGTCATGCAAAAATCTGGGAACCATCTCAGTTTCTTCTTTTGCTCAAATCCTCACAAATAACCACCATGTACAGACAATGCTTTTTCTTCCAAGTCAGCATAGTTCAGATATCACTGATGTTTACATGAACTCCTACATATAATACAGATGATTACATTGCCTTTGTTTATAGCATTGTCTTTGTAATATGAAAAGCTGACCATTGTATCTTCCCTGCCAATGTCTCTGCTGTAATTCCCCATTTTCCTCACATCCAAGTCATATCTACCTTAACATGAAAAATTCTGTAACTTATCCTTAGTGCTTTCCATCCCTCACATGTTATGGTCCTGGCAAAACAAACTCCCTGAAAGTTCTCTTTCCCTTCCATATCTTTGCATATAATTTCTTTCCCACCTTCTCCATCTGGCTTAGGAAGAGTACTTTCCAACAAGTCTTCTCTTGACTCAGAACTGATTTAATGCCACTCTTTATTCTACTCTGCATTCCATGACTAACAATATCATATTACTTATAACTCTCTACCTGTTAAGCTTCTGTATGTACTTGCCATCTAGATGTGAACTCCTTGACAATAAGGTCATTATAATTCCTCCCCAAATTACCAAAGCCTAACATTAGCTTCAGCATGAAATCAAAACTAGGTTGTAGTTTAAAGGTATGAGTTTTAAAAATAATTAATGTTGAAGTTGTTGAAGATAATTATTTGAGCTTGGCCTTGGGTAGGTGAAAGGGAAGTCATCCCAGATACGATCTTTGCACCTGCAAACTCAGGTGAAAACACTCAAAAAATCAAGCAAAAAAATGCTGGCAAGATCTCAGAGGAAAAGGCACACTTCTACTTTTTTGGTGGGAATGTAAAGTGGTACAATCACTAAGGAAACCAGTGTAGAGGTTCCTCAAAAAATTAAATCTTTAAATTCCATTTGAACCAGCTATTTCCCTTCTATTTCTCTTTCCAAAAAAAGTGAAGATATCATACTACAGTGATACATATATAGCCATGTTTACAGCAGCACAACTCATAATAGCTAAATCTTAGAAGGAGCATATATACCCACCCACATAAGAGTGGATCAAGAAACTGTGGTATTTATACATAGCAGAGTACTACTCTGTCATAAAGAATGATAAATTGAGTCATTTGTGGAAAATGGATGCATTTTAAATAATATTTTGTAAACTAAATCAGACAAGCTTAAATATCACATAATTTCTCTTCAATGAAAAACCCAAGGTATAAATAATTTAACGAACAAAATAAAAGATAGACAATAGGAAACACTGAAATAAATCCTTTGCATATGGGAAGGGAATCTAGAGACAGAGGGAGGGTAAAGGGAGGAAATTGGATAGGAAGGGGAAAAAATAATTAAGATATATTAAGTACATGTACCTACTCCCTAAGATGAATGCAAACATTACATAATTCAAACACATACTAAAAATATTTCAGTGAATACTGAAGGTGCCCTCACAGCATTCCTAGTCTAATTGGGAGCACCTGGTAAAATATACAATAATCAAAATAGGCAGGCACATCTTGCAGATCCAGTGAACATAGCTGATAAAGTAAGTTGTTAAAATATAGACTGTATAATTTGAGTCATTTGGTGGAAAATGGATGCACATTGAGAGCCATAATGTTAATTGAAATAAATCAGACATGCAAGCTTAAATATCACATTGATTCTTTTATAGAGAACACCAGAGTAAAACTAAAGATCAAAATAAAAGATAGATGCCTGGGTTTTGAATTTAAGGTGGAGCAGCAGCAGGAGAGGGTACTGCTGGATACAGTGTGTGGCTAGGATTCCCTCCATCTCCACAAGGACTCGATAGCAATGGAGCTCAGTGATGCAAATTTACAAACACTAACAGAATATTTGAAGAAAATCCTTGATCCTGATCCTGCAATCAGATGTCAAGCTAAAAAATTTCTTGAGTCTGTAGAAGAAAATCAGAATTATCCACTCTTACTTTTAACATTACTAGAGAAGTCCCAGGATAATGTCATCAAAGTGTGGGCTTCAGTAACATTCAAGAACTATATTAAATGAAAACGGAGAATTGTTGAAGATGAACCAAACAAAATTTGCAAAGCTGATCTAGTAGCCATTAAAGCCAATATAGTGCAGTTGATGCTTAGTAACCCAGAGCAAATTCAGAAGCAGTTGGGTGATGGTATCAGCATTATTGGCAGAGATTTCCCTCAGAAATGTCCTGACTTGTTGACAGAAATGGTGAATCACTTTCAGAGTGGGGAATTCCATGTTATTAATGGAGTCCTTCGTACAGCACATTCATTATTTAAAAGATACCATCATGAATTTAAGTCAAATGAGTTATGGACTGAAATTAATCTTGTACTGGATGCCTTTGCATTGCCTTTGACAAATCTATTTAAGGCCACCATTGAATTATGTAGTACCCATGCAAATGATGCCTGTGCCCTGAGGATTCTTTTTTCTTCCTTGATTCTGATCTCAAAATTGTTCTAGAGTTTAAACTTTCAGGATCTCCCTGAGTTTTTTGAAGATAATATGGAAACTTGGATGAACAATTTTCATACCCTCTTGACACTGGATAATAAGCTTCTACAAACTGATGATGAAGGGGAAGCAGGCTTATTGGAAGTCTTAAAATCAAAGATTGGTGACAGTGCTACACTCTATGCTCAGAAGTATGATGAAGGTTTTCAGCAGTACCTGCCTCGCTTTGTCAGAGTCATCTGGAATGTATTAGTTACAACAGTTCAAGAGGTTAAATATGATTTATTGGTCAGTAACGCAATTCAGTTTCTGGCTTCAGTTTGTGAAAGACCTCATTATAAGAATCTGTTTGAGGACCAGAACACACTGACAAGTATCTGTGAAAAGGTCATTGTGCCTAACATGGAATTTAGAGCTGCTGATGAAGAAACATTTGGAGATAATTCTGAGGAGTACATAAGAAGAGATTTGGAAGGATCAGATGTTGATACAAGATGCAGGGCCGCCTGTGATCTGGTATGAGGATTATGCAAATTTTTTGAGGGACCCATGACAGGAATCTTCTCCAGTTATGTTAATTCTATGCTTCAAGAATATGCAAAAAATCCATCTGTCAACTGGAAACACAAAGATGCAGCCATTTATCTCATGACATATTTGGCATCAAAAGCCCAAACACAGAAGCATGGAATTACACAAGCTAATGAACTTGTAAACCTGACTGAGTTCTTTGTGAATCACATCCTTCCTGATTCAAAATCAACTAATGTGAAAGAATTTCCTGTCCTTAAAGCGGATGGTATCAAATATATTATGATTTTTAGAAATCAAGTACCAAAAGAGCATCTTTTGGTCTCGAATCCTCTCTTGATTAATCATCTTCAAGCTGAGAGTATCATTGTTCATACTTATGCAGCACATGCTCTAGAATGGTTGTTTACTATGAGAGGGCCTAACAATGCCACTCCTTTTACAGCTGCAGAAATAGCACCATTTGTTGAGATTCTGCTAACAAACCTTTTCAAAGGCTCTCACACTTCCTGGATCTTCAGAAAATGAATATATTATGAAACCTATCATGAGAAGCTTCTCCCTCCTACAAGAAACCATAATCCCCTGTATCCCTACTCTCATCACCCAGTTTACACAGAGAAGCTATTAACAGTTAGTAAGAACCCAAGCAAACCTCACTTCAATCACTACATGTTTGAAGCAATATTCTTATCCATAAGAATAACTTTCAAAGCTAACCCTGCTGCTGTTGTAAATTTTGAGGAGGCTTTGTTTCTGGTGTTTACCAAAATTTTACAAAATGATGTACAAGAATTTATTCCATATGTCTTTCAAGTGATGTCTTTGCTCCTGGAGACACACAAAAATGATATCCCGTCATCTTATATGGCCTTATTTTCACATCTCCTTCAGCCAGTGCTTTGGGAAAGAACAGGAAATATTCCTGCTTTAGTGAGGCTTCTCCAAACATTCTTAGAATGTGGTTCAAACACAATAGCAAGTGCTGCAGCTGACAAAATTCCTGGTTTACTGGGTTTCTTCCAGAAGCTAACTGCATCCAAAGCAAATGACCACCAAGGCTTTTATCTTCTGAACAGTATAATAGAGCACATGCCTCCTGAATCAGTTGACCAGTACAGAAATAAAATTTTCCTTCTGCTATTCCAAAGGCTTCAGAATTCCAAAACTGAAAAGTTTATCAAGAGTTATTTAGTCTTTATTAATTTGTATTGTATAAAGTGTGGGGCCCTAACATTACAGGAAATATTTGATGGTATACAACCAAAAA